CACCGTCTTCTGAAATCATAGGCATCATGATGTTTTTCTTGTGAGTGGATGGGCTGGAATATTCTTTTTGGAGTATTTTGTTGATATCATCAGAAGTTAGCCCTAAAATATACGAAATAAACGCTCAGTCGGGGTAAATAACAAAATTACACTAAAAGCAAAAATTTATCAGTTCCAACATATCCCAAGTAAAATCATCAACTGACTGACAGTCACCAGTACCAGCTAAGCGCATATAAAAATAACCCAATGAACGTTTCCCCGACTCTTGACACCTGAAATATTCTCCCCATACTTTATCATTGCAAAATTTTCAGCGCTGACTTTGAGAGTGTTTTTGAGAGTCGGGGCTTACAATTTTTGGCTAGTCTATGTAGCGTTTGCGGTATCAATTTTTGATTATTGTAACTAAACTAAGGGTCCTAAGAAAACCTAGACCGAAGTTATTTGATTTACAACTATTTTTTGGATACACAACTAAACACTGAAACGTAACACGCAAAACTACAAAAAAGAGGCAATGTTTACAACATGCTTGGATATTTGCTTAAGGCTCTTAAGGTCTAAGCCAGGGGTCGGCAACCTACGGCCCGCGGGCCGGATCCGGCTCGCGGAGCAATATAACCCGGCCCGCGACGCTTCACTGAATTATAGTAATAAATTATAGCTGTTTTGTTGATTATACTTCTTTACGAAAAGGAACTTTCGTGTAGACTAAATTATAATACAACGTCACAAGTATATAATGCACAATTACTCGTTTAATAAGCCTATAATTTAATTATAATTTAGACAAATGGCAACAAAACGCAGAAAAGTTGAGGCTAAGTGCAAATGGCTTAATGGCGCAAAAAATACTCAAATGGTCAGTCTTCGCGCGCTGCTGAAAATTTAACTTCTGATCTGTGTGATAAAATGTGATTCATCGGTCATCCATTCGATTTTTAACTTTCTAAAAATGACTTGCAACCTTTAATTTTGACCCGCGAGCGACAAAAGGTTGCCGACCCCTGGCGGTAATAATTCTAATTGTTACGTCATAAATAACTTATTTCTAATTTGTAGTTGTCACGGAAAGAAAATAGTTGCTAGGGGAAACATCCATAGTATTTGACTTACCCATTAAAACAGTTGTTGAAGCTGGACTCGACTGCTTTCTTGTTGATCCCTCGGCATATATTTTGACATTGTATTCAGAAGTAACACCATTACTCTTGAACGTTACAAAGTTTTCTTCTGTTTTTTTACCATTTTTTCCCAATCTGACCGGGAGTGGGTTATTACCACGTGGCTGTATATCCACCGAAGCGAAGTCTATTCCCACTGGCATTTCCCATGATATTGTAGCAATTTTTCCAGGTTCTGCCTCATCCAACACCACTTTAATAGATTTCGATTCTATCTCTGGCATTTCAGCTGAAATAGAACAAAATTTCGTTGAATGCTTGAATTGAATGATGTATTAAACAAGTATGAATGATCGAATTTTGTTCTGGATCTAGATGAAAATTCCGACAAAGTATGAGCAGGTGCATCATTTTTTATGCTACTTTACCAGCCAATATGTTGAACCAAGTCCCGTATCCTATATAGTTTGTCGTTTATAAAAACAGTACACAATTTGAAACAGTACTACGATTCGAAAATAGAGTAAAGAAATTCAAAAAGACTTATTTCCTGAAAAGTTGACCCAAATACAATACTGTACAGCAACGGTTCACAAAATATGCACCGCGAAATTTATACAGAATTTTTTTTAAACATAACTAAAATATAATTGAATATTTTACATATTGTATTTATTATAAATGTTTTATTGTTCGTATTTAATGCTTTGTATATGAATCAGTGAATTATTTTTCTTTCTATGTCGTTTACTTTCTGTTTCGTAACAATAAATGTAGACACTACTCGCTGCAATTTCGCGAGCTGCAGTTTATGTATCTGCTAAACCGAGTTTAGCGAACATAAGTTATGTTTTTGGCATTTCGGAGGAAAATCGGGCAGAGATGAGAAAGAGTTGACCTTTTGCCTTTATTCATTAGGCCTACATTTTACAAACTTTAAATAGCATGAGTACACATTGATGATCACGAAATAGAGTTTTATTCAAAAGCAGCATTTTTTCGTGTAAGTGCGCCGTGAGTTTTTTCCTGATAATTTGGGACCGCGCGAACAAAAAGTTTGGCAACCACTGGTGTACAGTATCAATTGCAATTTAGCGACACTTTGCTTCAATCCTACTTTATTCCCACATTTCAGTAATTCACGCCCTGAGGAATACCTTACCCATTATGTACTTGACTGATAATGCTGTGGGACTTTGGACATCACCGATGCCAGAATAAATACTAACATCCACATTTTCAGATTCGGCTGCAATTTCATGATAATTTTCTTTTGTGACAGCTGTTCTACCGTATACATTTCTAATATTTATCTTGAACCATTCGACTTGTGGCGGCCGATCCCATCGCATCAAGACCTTTTCCCAAGGTTTCTGAGAATCTGGTTCCCACTTTACGGTGTCTGCTTGTACCAAACTTATTGTTGCTAGAAAATGAATTATAGTTACTTAACCCCTGCTTTTTCACAATTTTTTTCTTTTATTCCTTCTCTTATACACGATAACTGTATTGGTTTCATTCGTCTCTGAGTAATTCAAGCCTCTTGTTGCCCGTGTGAAAAAAATTCTTTACTTCGTTCTCATAAATATGTCAAATAAAGTATAATTTACTTATCATGTTTTAATCACATTTTAGGTACATACGCAGAATTAAAATCAAACTAAGGTTATCTTGTATCCAGGAATTTTATTTGAAATGCCTTTTTTTATGGCTCTATTTTTCAACGTTGGTTATCGAGTTACAAAGTAGCAACATTCTATTTCTCTTTTCTCATAACTTCTCTATATTGCAACTCTGTTATATTACTCTATGTTTTAGGTACCTGTACTTATAGTAATTTCCGCAGGGTGTCTGCTACTAATGGATCCACAGAGCGAAAGTAATTTAATGTGATATTGTTTTGCAGGATGTGCAACGTTAACTTTTAATTTGTTATCCTTAATATCTTTTTCGATGATCCTAGAATCAACATACACCGAGAATGACTTGGCACCTTTCGGCCAATCCCATATCAAATGAAACACTGCCCAAGGACTGACTTTGTCAAGCGATACCTTCAAGTTAGACGGTGCCATAAGCCCTGTTAATAAAATAGTGAGTACTATTGAATTAAAAAAAAAGAATAGGAACTTGGGTAAAGACAAGAAGATCTCTGACTGCCTATTCATAGTATATTCTGAATAGATTGTTAAAAACAGTGCCTCGCACCATTTTACATCTCAACTAAATTGCTGTCCATTTTTTAAGCCAAGTCTGACTTTATAAATATCTCGCAAGATCGACGCTCTCCAATGCAATTGTGCTGCTTGGGTTTTCTAAAAAGATAAAAACGGTAAAAATAGTGTGCTCACCCAATCTAAAGATTGATGTTGTTGGCAGCGGCTGCCTGCGTCCTGCAACCATAGAATATATTTCAACCAGGTAATCTTTACCTTCATCATTCAGCTTGACAAATTCAACAGAGTTTTTTTTGTGAATTTCCTGTCTTATTTCAACATATGGACTGGCTTTGGAGTGATAAACAGAATGTAGTCGATTCCTAGCAACCTGAAGATGATGTGACTTAATAGCCACTGATACATGTTCTACCCCAGGAGGCATTTTCCATGATATTGTTGCCTTTTCCCAAGGTTTTGTGTCGTCTAATATCACTTTGATAGAATCTGAATCTATTCCTGGAACATCATCTGCAATATAATCGATTACAATGTATGTCTCGACATTGAGACACAAATAGCTACTTACCCTGGAGGAAGTGTATCTTTTCCTGTTAGATACCAGCCAACAACGGAAAGAAGCCAAATTGTGAAATGTTTTGCGAGAACATCTTAATGCGGTTCTTTGAATAAAATTTTGCTAAAATTAAATTTACTAAAACTTACTCTTGTTTAAACAATATATACCGCTATTGTATCTAAACAAAAAAACGTCTTGTAAATACCTGCTGTTATAGAAGTTGTAACAGGGTATTCACTTTTGATAGATCCACACATTGAATATAGTTTAATTCTGTAGGTTTCTGTTGGTTTTGCATCACAAAATGTGAATTTGTTTTTCTTGATATTATTTCCAATGCATTCATCATTGCCATAAATTAAAAAAGACTTGGCACTTTTTGGCCAATCCCACTCAAAATGAAAAATTGCGCAGGGTCTTAATTCATCTAAGCTTGCTTTAACCCACTTGGGTGGATGTAAAAGACCTGGAAAGTAAGATGCATCATCAATATAAAGTTGCAGTATTGAAAAATATTAATTGCATCAATTTATTGATTCACTTTATGTAGTTCTCGCGAAACCTATGCATACCAATCGAGTTAAACTGCCTGGGATATCGAATCCAAGTAGTGTCCATACCAATCCACAGATCAGAAGTCTTGAAATTTCGCGAAGTAACCAAGGATCAATTACCCACGCAATTTTGTATGTCTTTGTGATTATTACCTAGTCTTCTGTCAATCCTGGTATGTTTACTCAAATGAAACAGTCTAGAGCGGGGCTTTATAGACTATTTAAGCCTTGAGTCGACAAAATCCTCAAAAAAGAATGATTCAAGTATTTCTGCCATAACAAAAAGAAGCATTGCTGAAACTTGGATATGTTTTAAAATATAGAAGAACTTCTTCCTAACCTGTCATAATCTCTATCGATGCAGATTTTCCAAGAATGTCGTTGATGTTGTACGCAGAAACAACAAACTTGTGCTTTGTGCAGGGCAAAGGTTCAATTAATTCAAATTTTCTTATGTCAATATTTTCCTCGTGAACCTTCTCATCCAGTCTTTCTCCAACAAAAACTTGGATCAAATAAAAGGGAATGTTGCAGGGTAATTCCTCCCATTCAACAACAATTTTATTTCCAATTACTTCAGCAGTAAGCCCGGAAATCTTTGGCGGTGCTGGAAGTAAGAGTGATTGCAAAATATAGCAGACGTGAAAATATATAAAATTTTCATATAACAAATAGAATAAATCTGTTAAAAGTTCAGAACCATAGCAAGAATACCCTGCTCATTCCCAGGAAATATATACTAGTGCACCTGGCTCAATGATGGCCATTGAGAATTATTGCAAATTCAATTATTTCTAATTCAATTAACTAACCCAGAAGAATAGAGCTCCTTTCACACCATTCTCCGAACTCAAACGTGTTAGCCGCTCTCACTCGCACTGTGTATTCATTGCCTTCCTGTAGGCATCGGTATTTGCACCGGTTAGTATTTGTTACTTTGAGAATATTCTCGATCTCCTGGTTAGTTTGGATTTCGATTTCATAATACAAGATTCCATTTTGTAATTCCCATTCAATATTGATATCTGTGGACTGATTTCCACTGCACAAATCCAGGCTCTTAATGACAGATGCTTTTGGTCCTGTAAAGTATAGAACGGGTCTTCTGTTAGAATACTTTTCATCGACTCAATCTTGCATAGAATTGACTAAATTTTGAAAATATGAACTTTGGTATCATTTAAATTTGGTAGAAGTTAGTTTAGGAGAAACTTATGTATGGAAATATTATTTTGTTCAAGGCAAAATTTAAATTGGAAGAATATTCATGATTCGGATATGTTTTTTTCAACATTCTAGCCGATGCACTTTCTTTACTCAGGAGAGAGCGCAGTTTATAAGATGACCTAATTGTATTTCAAACCATGGCCATAACCAATCGTTGACTGTTTTGGTTTGGAATTTGGATTTTGAGAAAACTGTAACTTTCCAGTGATTACATTAAACCAGCGTTTCTCAACCTTTTTTGGTCGCGGACTATTTTCTCACCGGCGAAAGCCTTTGCGGACTCAACGTGCGTTTATTGCAAATGTACTCTGCGTGAAGAAGTAATAAAACCAAACAGAACAGAATTTTAGCGAATTTCAAAATCGGAAATTCGCCGCAATTGCGCGTTTGTTGATAGAGCCAATTTTTGGGCCTTTTCTGTCGCATAATATTCAATCCATGACAACGACGAGAATATAAAATGCCTTTCTATTTTAATTTAGTTGTGTTCATGGCCACTCGCGGTTGCGTCGACTTATGACAAGATGAAAGCACTACTTCTCTAATGCCACGGCAATCTGCGAACATAATAATGTGAGAATATATTGCCCGATTATATTTAGTTTTGATACATATTTTTTACGATCTTGCGAAGTTGTTATCGCTGTTAGAAAAATCCTACTATCTACTATGAATTTCCAGAAAGTACAACTTGATTCTAGTATTTATTAAAAATATAATTAAAGTATATTAGTAAATAAAAAATCGCCTTTCTTTAATATTAATTTAATTGTGGTAATTTTAATCTGCGGTTGTGTTGACGAAATAGAAGCAATACTACTCAGAAAATATCATGACAATCCGTGGACACAAAAATGCGTGGTAAAGTGCCCGATTATATGTTGTTTCGATTCGTATTTTTGTGAATTCGACAAATCTGAGCTGTTTGTATAACACTTACGGCACTCCAGTACTGTGCGTACCAATGTGGAGGCAGTAAAGCAAAGAATCCTAAGGGAAAATGCCCTGATACGGATACTACAGTAGCACCCGAAATTTTGCGATTTACAATGTTCAAATAAGCGTTTTTAATATCTTAGAACTTAACTTTGGTGTTTTCCGTTTTATTTTTAGTATTTTGTATTGCCGCTTTTCAATTTAGAAAATTTAGGTTGCCACCATTGACACCTACCAGAAAAGAAAATTATTCCTCGTTGTTCGAGATCGCGATAAACGCCACTTAGATATCTATCCACGCGTTTGCCGGCCTGTGTTTTCGTCGGAAATCCGCAAGTAAGTTGTGAACTCCAATCGTTTGATGAGGCGACGCGCAAGTGGCCTGTCGCGTCACCTCTTACCAAATATTCGAATAGTAAATTGCTATTCTAGTAGTTAAATATTCGAATATATGCTCAGCCCTACTCAGTACCCAGTAATTATTGACTCGATTAATGGTATATGAATAAATTTGCTTTTTATATTTTGTAAATTGTAACCTAAATCGTAACTTTGTTAATGGTCAAGTTACGCAAAAACGTTTGCGGCCCGCAGTGAATTTCTGGCTCGTTGCGGACTCATTCCAACGCTCCGCGGACTCATTTGAGACCGCGGACTCGGGTTGGGAAACACTGCATTAAACACTTAAACATCATTCCTGTTACTGACTTGTTCATGTGATCAATATTTAAAACTGAGATACCTAAACAGTGTATGCCACGTACTTGTTAGAATATTCTTTGATCTTGTGATTCTACTTTTTCTTACACCATTCACAGTTTGTACTTTGACAAAATATGTTGTGTTGTTCTTAACTTTGTCGAATCTGCAAACGCTTTCATGTGTTGACTTTTCTTCAACATAAACATCATTTCTTGCTTCAAAAAGTGAAACAATGTTTTGCAATCCATGTCTGGCTTGATTTAGTTGCACTGTCAGTGAATTGTCTCCATCAGCATGCAATGAAATGTCTGCCGGAACCCAAATTTCTGTGAATTGTAACAAATTACTTCTGTCAGATTCCCCGAACCATTAACCATTGGTAGGTGTCAGAGGTAAAAGAAATACAGAATAAACTAAGAGTACGGTAGCAAGCCCCGAATCGGGAAAGTGATACAACAGCCTAATGGAGTTTAATCAAGCAGTGAGATATTGGGCAATTTATTAGTGCCTGTTTCTAAATGCTTTAAGTTTAAACTATTAGTTCCCAACCTTTTTCAGTAAGTTTTCATCTATTTTGGAACACTGTATTCCTCCATCAATATGCAATAAAACTACTTTGTTCATGCAATCTCTAATGCATCCCCATTTAGTGTCCTTACCCAAAGTGCGAGTCGCAGTTTCGCTATTGTACAATTTAAGTAGTTTATAAAGTGTGCAATAATAAGTGTTATAGTAATAATAAAGAACTAAAGACTATTAGTAATACTGCATTTACCTGTTTTTATTTTGTCCTGAGAATCTTTTCCGTAACCGCTTTTATTACCAGCTTTCACTGATATTCTGAATTCCGTGTCAGGAGGTAAATTTTCGAATTTGAACTGCAGATTCTTTATTACATGTTCTTGTAGAAAACCATCTGACATCGCTTGTATTTTATACATCGTGGCATTGGGGGTTTCATCCCATTTACAAACGATCATCTTATCAGGGTGCTGATCATCTAGCTTTATCTGAAGATTCTGGGCATATGATGGTCCTGAAAAACATTTACATGCAGAACTTTTAACTATACATGGTTTTTTGATGAGCAGTGGGGCAGAGATAAATTTACATCTGATTGAGATTTCAAGGTATTTGAACAAGACTGTTCTGACTGCCAACTCTTGTTTTTCAAATATTCGGATATATTTGTTCAAAATTTAAATTATGCCTTTTAAAAGCCTTCGACATTATAACAACATAAAAGTTACCGACTGCTCTTCTACACTCTGTGAAACCGCCCAATAGAAGAAAAATTAAACTAACTTGGATCTGTTGTAACCTCATTCGTGAGGCATCCATCACTTTTAGAACTATTGTAGACCGCGATGATACTGAACTGATGTGGGAGACCACTCTTCAATCCGTCTAATGAACAGCTAGTTGCATTGACTTTTATCGTCATGTCGGGTCTATTTGCCTCTTTCACGAGATAATGTGAAGGAATCGATTCCTCCGGAGCTTCCCATCTGAGGTCAACACACTCTGTCGGCTTTTCTTTGTTCAAGAAAGCCTTCGCCATTCTTGGTATGGAGCCGCCACCTTAATGCAATTTTTTTAGAAGATATTTAAAAAAGGATGATAAGTAGTTACAGCTTCCCCCACCTTCAAGTCCATGCATCTGTAAACTAATAACTGGCTAACTAGTACCATACCCGGCATGGACTGGTAAACGGACGAGAGGTGGGGTTTCGCCATATAATTAAGCCATCTTATCATTTTCCTATACCCCGGGATAAATATGTTAAATTCTATCCCATCCTAAGATGATTAATTAATTGCATGGCGAACCACAGCTTTTATGCAATTGTGATTCGATTTTGATACCAAAAATAAATTACCTATGTCAGATGCTTAGTTATTGGACTGAAATATGCATTTGTTTAGAGAGTTCTACTGTTCGACCTTTTTTATACACAAGTTTGCTTTAAGTCAACTCCTAATTTTTCAACCAAAAGTGGAAACAGTACTAATAGAAGAGTTATAATTTAATCCCCACTTATGTGCTCGGAGCTATATATTTTCTGATTTTGTGACATAGGCGTCAGTGGTTTAGTAATCCGAAATAGCAATGGTCGAAATGGGTCAGAAGAAAAAAAAAACAATGTAATGGTTTGTCTTACCTATTAAATAGTTTATAGTTTTTGTGGTGTACCGATTGTCTTTACCATGGGCAGTGACTTGGAAGGTGTAATAAGTTCCAAGATTAAAATCGCCAATCGGTTTTGTGTGCTTTGTCAGTGATTTGCTGATTTCCTGGTATTCGATTTGCCTTTTACTTTCGGACTCAAATATTTTTAATTCGTATCGTTCAGCACCCCGAGAACTGTCCCATCGTACCAGCACTTTCTGCTTGTCAACTCCGACTCTAACATTAGGTTCTGTAGGCCCTAGAATACAAAAATTACATAGTTGTTATAAATAAAAAAAATACATTTTCAAGTTATAATTATTTCATTGTGATGTTTTCTTCATCTGCAGTTGCTAACATGCTTGAGAGAGACACAAGTCTTAAACCTCAATTTCTTGTACAATGGTTTCAAAATGTGGAATTGATGGTTACTTAGTTGTATTAAACCGTACATAACCTAGAACTACATTTTCATTTTGCAAACTTGCAGAATATGTAAAATCACAAAAGATTTACCTCAAAGGCATTTGTATATGTTGGTTACAGAAATACCAAACTAAGGTTATGAAATATGGCTACATTGAACTATGGGGATGATGGGATGTAAAAACTCACTTGAATGAAAAACAGTCTTTAAATCTGCTTCAATTATCTTCTCTGTATCGATTTCTTCATATTTTGTTTTTATATGCACAGTATAACATTTACCCAAATTGATAAGAAATTTTTCTGTACAAGATTGGTCGGTGAGATGTTTAGTGAACATCGTATGGCCGTCTTGTAGCACTTTAACATCATATTGTAGAATCTCATAATCATCGGACTCTCCTGAAAAGCCGGGAGGTTCCCAACTAACAGTTGCCATTTCAATGCCTCCATCATTCGTTGACATTTTTGTTTCAACGTTGCGTGGTTTGTCTGCGAAAAAGATAATACTGTAGCAGATATAAAGAGTTCATTAATGGATAATCAGGTGGGCTTTACACATAACGTATAAATAAAGATTTACACGAAGAGTCACAAATAAATATTAAGTTAAATTATTATTATTATTTTGGCCTATCCGTATCGAATGTTGGAATCTTGTCATCGAAGGTATATTGATATGCATGCCTAATGCATGGATAATATTTTCCTTAGGCGTGTGATTTTCCTCCTTTTTATCAGGTAATGTGACAATTTTTTGTTAATCAAAGCTTAATAAAAAGAACTATTTCTTTCACAACCTGATCGTGCTTTACTTGCTGAGCGTTAGTAATTTGTAACATAGCGCTAAACAGTATGAATATTAGAGAACTTTTGAATTCTTAATCATTACAAAGTGGGAATGGCTCCTTTGACCAACGAAACAATGACTCACCAACTTCTCTTTGCGATAGAATGAATATAAGGCATATTATTACAATTATTAGCTGTGATAATGAAACTGGCATTTTTCAAAAATTACACAAGCTTTAACACAGTGCTCACCAAAATCATCTTTTCTGACATTTGTCACTTGACTGTGATCTGAAAACAAATTTACCGAATTACCAATAACAAAATATTCAATATAAATAATATGGCCCCAGTAAGAGTGTACCAAACCATTAGCACACCGTTTCAATACACAAGTCTCTTGAAAACCAAATTTTGATAGTAAAAATTTTGTGCATGATTCTTCGGAATCGCTTGGTAATTTCAAATTTATTTTCAATGTTTATAGAAAATTTGGACTCCAGTTGTCACTAAATTTCTACTCCCAATTCCAGGGTATTTTAACCCCGAATCACAAACCCTGATTTAGAACAGCAGATCTTGGTGTAGATCCCATGCACACCACTCAAGTCAGCCCATGTAAGTATGCTAAATTGCGAAGGTCCTTTCTCAAACAAAGTAGCTCATTACTTATCAGCTTGCGTTCGGCCTTGTTTTCAGTAAAAACACTTTGAACAAAGAATGATGTTTTGAATAGTTTTTTTTTATCTGAATCATATTAGTGAACTGCGATAACGCTTGGCATGTATGAACCATTAAAATATGATTCAGTAAACAAAAAGATGCTTTTTTCTCTTGCACCAAACCAATATGAAAAGTTTTTACCCATCTTACTCTACTCCAATATTTTCGGCAAATACTTACTCACTGTTGTCGGCTTTTCTATTCTGATGCTTCTGCTATGAATATGGCTGTACTGCGTCGTCAGAGTAGCACTTGGCTCTGTTGAAAATGAAAACAATGTCATTTTCATTTTTGCAACCTATGAATGAAACTTCAAGCACTCTTTGTGCGGCTGTTGGCGCATTTTGATGAGCTTTGGGAAACATTTACTTCCGAAACAAGTAAATTGCTAAATAATCTCATACCCGACATGGACTGGTAACCGGACGGGGGACCGTGGTTTGCCATATGCTTAAGCCGCCTAATCGGCTTTCCTCTCCCCCCGGGATAAATATGTAAATCCAATCCTATCCTAATTTGTCTTTGTTTATTCAAATACACGGCATTGATTCATAAGCTTTTAACTTCGATGATATGTGAAAAATACGAAAACTGTGTTGGAATTAATGACTAGACATTTTGAATTCAATCCAGATGTTATAACACGTAAACATTTATAAAACTGTTTTTAGGATAAGTTTTCCCTGCATGGAAAAACGAGAGTTTTGAGGCTCGGTGTTAGGAAACAGAGAAAAACGTACTTGCATGAGTGCTGACTATGTTTGTTTCAGAATCATGACCACGATCATCAGCATAAACTGCACGAACTAATATGCGATAATTCGTGTTGGTTTTTAGTCTGTTGAACGTAGTGTTAGTCTTGAAACATTTTTGAGTTTTTATTTTCCCAGTTGCAGGTATACATACGACTTCATAATGGTCTGGCTTCATCTCTGGCTCCATCCATTGGGCATGTAGGCTTCTTGTTGGTTTCTCAAGGTTCACCATCGCAGTAGGATTTCGTGGGACTTTAGGTCCCCCTGTGAGTACAATTTGTTCACTAATTTTATATATTCGTTCCCACGACAGAACCTATACTATAACACCTTTAAATAATAGTCTAACAAGCAAACCTTCGAATCAATGGTGAATATATATCTAAATATAAAAAAAACTATTATTGGACACGTCAGTGTACATAACGATCGTTTCAATATTATGTTGTTGTTCTTATTAGTATTATTCTTCTCTTTCGTCATGATGGAATCGCTTTTCTCTTCAAATACTGGACCAATTTCTGGAAATTTTCAGTGGTTAAAAATTGATTTTTTTGCCAGAAGGCTATTACTTTTACTTATTATATGAGTTAAAATTTATTACCGAGATGCATGGATGCTTATCCAATTAATTTTTATTTTCCTTGACAACCACATCATTTTATCTGGACATCAAGGCTCGATTACACAGATTTCAGAAATTTATCAGTATCTCATAACAGTAGCAATTGTCTAAACCAGGGGTGTGCAACCTTTATTACAGATGGGCCAGATACAAGTATTTGGGTGAAGCCGCGGGCTGCGCCATCATTTAAGATGGCTTTTCTGGTAGTTGTAGGCGCAAAATATTATTTCTTTTTGCTATGGATCTTACGGCATTGTTAGACTTCCTTGCTGTAACGGTGATTTAAAATGCCTAAATTTCTGAGGAAAACTTTTATTCAAATTTATTGTTACATTGACTTTGATCGAATTTAGTTTGAAATACCTGTTTATAACATTGTGTATTTTGCTAGCTAGTTTTGCTAATATTGCAGTGGCAATCAGGTACTGATACAGGAACGCAAAGGGATTGGAATTGCTCGCACGAACCAGATTAATTAAACTAAAAAAACATTTGGCGGGCGCACCACTCAAAATTGAAAATTGTCGAGTGTCATTTTGTGTAAAGATATTTTGCTTTAGAACTCAACCACAACTTGCTTTAAACTCAATTATACACGATGAAAATTTTTTTCTCACCAATGATACAGGTCTCCCATTGTGAATCTTTCACAACATCATTCGGACAAAATATTTTGAGCCTAATTTCACAAGTTTGACCGATTCTCAATTCTTCTTTCAACTCCCTCCGATGTTGGCATTTATTTTCAGGAAAATCTTTATGAATTATTTCTTTGGTCTTGTCCAAAACATTTCTGACGACCAAAGTATAATGTTTTATTCCTTCTGTTCTTCGCCACTGAAACTTGATGTATTTTTGATCCCATGTTGTCTCAACGACTCGCCCTGGTGCTGAGAATTTATAAATAAAATATATTATATAGTTGTATCCAAAACCCTCCCCTTTTAAACATGGGACAAGCTAATTTTTTAGACAATTTTTTCCCAGCTTTTTATGACGGAGCATAACTATTTTCGAAAAAACATATTTTAGATGAAGCGTGTAACTTTATCGGAGTGGCGATTAAGTATTCATAGCCTTTGAAAAGTGGCATATTTTATTAAAAAGTGCATTAGTAAGTGCTTTTTTAAAGAGCTCGGTGGTTTTAAAAAGCGAATAGTTTTCTTCGAAAAGAATCAGCTACAAATACAAGTAACTACTCAGAAGTACGTGAGTATTCGCTCAGCAGTGTCTTGTAAACGGTCAGGTTTCAGTAGTGGCTTATACAGGGCCTTTTTTGGAGTGAATCTGTTTTTACACGATCTAGTTTTGTGCGATGAATGTCGCCAAACTTTTAAGTGCCTACCCAGCCCAAACGTTGGAGACTTTGGTTGTACAGAGCCCATTTCTGAGCAAATGTGTAAATGGTCATCCGTACTTATAAGTAGATGATTTTTCAGAGCCTTATTTGTAGAGAATATGTTATTGAACCGCCATTACTATGAAATCTTTGCGCGTAATTTTCAGCAGTTGGCTGTTTTGGAGTACAGTGTGAAAAGCATGTTTGAATGAACATCCCTATACAGGACCGAATTTAGACTATGGAAGGCGCTAAATCCGCCAGCTATGCCATTTGTGAAGCTTCTTTTCAACAATGACGTCATAAATATTCTATTACGTGGTCATTATGGAAGCCATAAATATTTATTTTAATTGCGTGATATACGAAATTTAATTACAGGTAAGATGCGTATGTAAGTGCGTATGTAAGAAGCACCCAAGTAGATCGGATAGTGAGTTGAATTAAAGCACCCAAGATGTAGTAAAATGCCATGGCCCCAGAAAACTCGACGTCATAATACCCGTCTAGTCGCGAGAGGCATGGCGCAATTACTGGTAAACAGAACAATACTGATAAATAAAATTATTATTCTATTTTTATTTAGACAAACGGGTCTAGAATAAAAAAAGATCCAAAATAGTAAAAAATCCAATCGTTCTCAGATCCTTTGTTGCCTAGTATAGCTATAGCATATATGCACATATTTCCCATCTTTTTAAACAATAAAGACGTTATACGATAAAACGGGTTCAATTGATTAAATATTATTAGCGTATTTTGTTTCAAACGTCAAAGGGGTTGAGTTTTTCAAATTCAGACAAATTCATTTATTCGACTGTACTTAATTTTCAAAGTTTGTAAACGGTGAATATTCGAGACAAGGACTGTTGACCTGATTAAACAAATATTAAATTTTCAAAACAATTTAATTCTGGGACAAGCCTTTAAAAATATAAAACCGACTTAAAAATGAATAATGGTTTATAATTGAATGTGGAGGCCTCCAAAACTGGGAGCCCTTAGGTTGCAGCCTACCCAATGGAATAGTTTTTATCCAATCCCGCTTGGTTGAATCTAAACATAAAGTAATAAATATTAAAATCAAAATATGACCGTACCTGCATTTTCCATGTTCTTTTGTCTGTTCGTAAAATAGAATATGCCTATATAGATTCGTTTATTACTTCACCTGATACACATGAAACTCTACTTTTGCGAATTGTAGCGCTATACACACATAGGCGTTACAGGCGTCCTCGAACATAATTACACTTTAATAAAAATGGTAAGGTATCTAGTGTTCACAAAGTTATACTGACACAGTGAAAACAAATCTCGGTGGTTTATCGATGGTTAATTTGCTTGATTACTTCGATTGCGAAATAAATTTACTGATATTATTGCTACAAAATAGTCGGAATTGTATTTTGTTTTTAGTCCACCAAACACTAGGAATAATACACCTTTGAATTGAACAGTTTTTTACAGTGTGGTATATTTACTTGAATAATAATTGATAAGTCTAAACTCGATGTCGTATATTTATTCAAGTTAAGCGCGAAAGCAAGATTTATTGAGTGCTTATGACGGCATCAGACATTATGACAATCTTGCAGAATACCAGGGTCAACTGTTAAAAGTTCAGCTCAACCAATCAGTGTTGCCTGAGGAGGCTCCATACACATTGTGGTAATGTCGCGCAATGAATTTTATAAATTGGGTATTTACGAGCGTATTATTGTAAGTCGATCATTAAGTACAAAAATGACACAACCGATTGGGATAATTTACGATGAGATTTTCGATTTATTTAGTGTGATGAAATTGAATTAGCGCCACCTAATGTGGCCAACGTGGCACCATCGCTAATAGTCTCGTCGCTATGCGAAGGTTTTTTTTGGTTAGCGTGCGTCAGGATTGCTACATCTTGTAACTTGTTCTTTTTCTTGTTTTAGTATAGTAGTAATCTTTAAGTTAATAAAAGCCTAGAAAACAGTCTAAATGAGTTTTCCTCGAATGGTTTCACTACATTTAGTTTAATTGTATGTTTCAATTGTGAGGCGGTTAATTTCTAGTTAATTAACACTTAACAGCATGGCCTACTAATTGTTCCACTTGTCTCTCTGAAATAAACTCCATTGGTATTTCTCAGATGTAAAGATTAGGTATATGTACCTATCTATAATCTCGTGCTTTGAAGGTGCCGCTGAAACAATAGTCGCCAAAAGATCTAAACAAGTTTGGTACAACAACACTCGAAGGTATTAAAATATGGGATGGTATGACTAAAGTATGAAGTCGAAAAATGCCCGCAATAGCATTTTGCTGTAAAACAAGTATTTGTGATTAAAACAGTTAGGTTTATAGGGTTAGGGTATGCTCTTTCCTACGGCGAGATTTCCTGCGGCGAATTTTCCTGGAACCATAATTAGGAACGAATTGATGCAAGTTTTCCAAACGTTAACAACCATAAAAATCACACATAATAATAAAAAATCGTGAAATATTATGATTTATTTGTTGAAAAATTCATCATCATTAATAGATATGTCTATTTCAGATATTAGTGCAAGGTATATTGAACATAACCCGTACCGGTGAGGATTCAGGTTGTGCGACATCTTGGTGCGCATACTTCTGGAGCACCCATAACCCGGTACGTCGGCTTGGCGTAAGGTATAGGTTCCTGTACGTCACGTCCTAGATCAGTACAAGCAATTTGGTCATCAATATCAGATTAAAGGTTGTTACTTATCGATTTCAATCGGTAAGTATGTTGATAGGTATTTGTCTGTTTGTCTGTATGTCTGTTCGATACAATTTACTTTATTTCTTCTATAAGTTTCTGTTGGGGCGATGTAATAACAACTTATGCGCCCCTTAAAATATGTTTCACTTCTTATTATTGGACACGTGGTGGACCTATGGATCGTTTCAATATTATGTTGTTGTTCTTTGACACTTTTTTGGACATCTAGTGGAAAATCTAAATAAAAAGTCGCTTTTCTCTTTGATCACTGGACCATTTGCTTTGAAATTTTCAGTGGTTAAAGATGAAACTTTTCTCCAGAAGGCTATTACTTTTATTTATTTCAAATATTTCTGGTGGCTCTGTGAGATTTGTTTTTGCTTGCTATGACGTCACCGAACGTTCTGTGGACGCATATGCTGGCACTCCTCTTCGTGTCTTTTGACCACGTGCCATCGAACGTCTGTGGCTCGTAATAGAATCCTTGCTTTGCTAAGATTTGAGGAATGGTGAATAGCGAATAGTGCCGTACTTGGTGTTATATTACAGTAGTGACTCGGATCGTTGGTATTACTACAGTTGTGAGTCGGACCATCTTGCAATTTCAATTCACGCTGTCACAAGATGGGAACTTCTAAAGAGAGGGCAGTTCCGGTACCGTAGCACAGCGCGGTGACACTGAACTAACTCGTAGCTGTCTGGTAAAAGCGGGGCTTGGTTTTAAAATTTTGTTCCAATAATGTAGAAGGGAATGAAACGAATTACTTAGTATTTCAATTCATGTTGTAATTGAATGGAGAAGAGTAGATCATTGTCTCGGGACTTGTGAAATGGGATGCAGACACACGGACAACTCGACTACAGATAGACCTGGTTAGTTTTCCGTGTAGTTGAATTGTTCATCAGCCCTAAACGGCTATGACAGTCACTTTACCAAAATTTGTAACCCGATTCAGTTGATGTTAAGTTGACTCATGTTATTTAGGAACGTTTCTATGTGAAATGTTTGACTGTGGTTCGGTACCTGATCCGTTAATACGGTACAATGTTGACTCATATCACGAGATATTTCAATTGATGTTTCAATATAATCAAGAAAAATGGATCATTGTCACATGACCTAAAATATCTATGACAGTCTCTGTACCGTCACGGTACCTCGGTCCCCGATACAGGTACTGGTAAGTCACCACCAAGATTTGTGAGAAATTGTTCTGCGTGTCCATATATTTGAGCATTGCTCTCTTGTTTATCTAACCATTAAAAAGAGATACATTATCAGCTGTATTATAATTAGATAAACTATCATAACCCAGCGAACCCGAAATATTCTTGCTACATCCCTTGAGGAACAGGCGTGATAACAAAATAAAAAATGTCACATGGAAGCTGAATTTATTTCGAAGTGATGAGGCAAATTCGTGATATTTTTTGTTTTTGAATTTCTAAAATTAGATGGATTGAGAGTTTGAAATCTCTAAATTTTCCATCTCCACCTTCATAATTCAAAAAAGTTGGTACGACGTAGTCAAAATAATCTAACATATAAAACAATATGACTGTTTGAAAATGTTTGCTATTTTTAATTAAAATTTGAATGAATGATTATATGTCAATTGTTTAAACTCGAATTCAATGATTTAATGATCCAGAGAACCTCAACCAGGACGACGTTTCATCAGATCTGGATCTCACAAATCACTCTATAAAACTCCCGTGTAGGAGGAGCATTGCCCATACCTAGCAATCTATGGTTGGAATGAACATACAGATAAACATTTGTGTAATCTTTATAATGAATTCCGGTATGTGGAAAACCTGAGAACCATTTAATGAATGAATCTTTAGGTGTGACGGCACGAGTCTGAGAAGAAAATATAAAAATTATCTCAATACTAATATTATTGAATTATTCTTAATTGACTACACATATGCTCGCAAGTAAAACTCCATGTTCTTGCGGCTTGGGATTGACTTTCCCGCGACTTCTTATTTATTGTAAAACTAATGTATTTAATGGAATATATCTCTGTGAGGGCTTTTCAAAAATACCACAGAACTCTGATGTTAATAGATCGAATCTACAGTATTGAACAAGAAGAACCCAACACAGTTAGCATACTCCTAATTCAATTGGCTCACATAACTTTATGATATACTTTTGGGTAGGTGTTTTTTTTTCAGCCAGTCCTTCTAATAACGCTTGATTACCAATTTAAAACTTTTGCTGTTGAAGTGTATTTGCGGCCTTCACTCTCTTCACTCGTCTAACAACAGATCCCCGTGTTGTACGAGTATAAATAGAACATCCATAGAACACTAACCGTTGGATCAAAGCGGATTCCTGTCCATATATTGATCCATGGCCAATCATATAAGATATTTCTGAAATAATTTACAATTGCATTGTAAGACTCTTTATTCCGGATCAAACCAACATTTGCGTTACGTTTCTGGCAGATCTGAAATGCTTCGTTGTAGTTGACTGCAATTGGGTTCACCACAGCAAAATAACAGATATTTCCAATCTTCAATTTGCAGTTTTCTGAAATAGAGTGAATGATTCTTTGACATGGAAGTACATTAAGAAGCAATTTAGATAAAACGGTAAGTGACTCTCGAAACCAAGAAGCACCAGGTACACCCGAACCTAGTCGTACTGCAACGTTTATTAATAAAAATTGGCTGAATAGGTTGGGCCGAAACTAGCAACCCGGAAGTATCCGATGAAATGCATTTAGAAAGAAGAATAGGATATTTTGTATACAAAGCCCCTGCCAATAGTGATTATCCAGTTAGGGTTAGAGTTTCCAGCGCAATATACATTTCTAACCATGATCCATACTAGATAATTATTATTTTCTTATATTAATTCTCATTCGATTTGTACAAAAGATCTGAAGAATATTCCAGAACCTTCAATGGCATCCAACATGACTTGGATATACTGAACGTACACTGAACCTATAGCACCAGCTTCATATTTTTTGCTTCAATTTATGTTGAAATGATAACAATCCGAATGATATTTTATTTATCTTTCACCTGGAGGAGGAGTTGATTTTAATGTTGTTCGAGTCCTTGTTGTTGGTCTGGTGATCTGTCTTGATCTAGTTTGAAGATGCGAAGGCTTCTCCGTTTCAACCCCTTTTTGTTCAATTCGAGATATCGCTAAAAATAACAATAATCAGATGAAAGATTCGGTATCATTTATTTCCCATTTCAACTTTACAAAGTCAAATCATTTACCTCTTCTTTGTTTACATTATAATAAAACAGAGTGACCCGGAATCAGAAATTCATTAATAACAAAGACAAACACTTGAACTTCTGCTTGTGTATAATAATACTCAAAAGTTTCGTACGCTTTGCTCAAAGATATGTTCTGTCTAAAGTATATTCCAAATGACCTGGCCTTTTTTTTACCAACTCATTATGTTCATGTGGGTGGGGTATGTGCATCTAGCCGATTTATTCTATTATAACTTCTGAAACAACGATAATGCTTCAAAAGTGTAAAGTAACAGTTACTACCTTTCTTCAACGCATTATTTGTTTTCTGTTGTTTATTCATCTCTTTCTCCAACTTATCATTCTTTTCTTGAACTTCAATCAAATCTAAAAATGGAAATATCATGTTTATGTACGTTAATAATCGCATGTGAATAATTCAAAAAGTGTTTTGAATTAGAGATAGATTCGTTTCCATACGTTATGGTACTGTTGAGAATCCTTGCACCAATAATCAGTATTTTATATAAACAACATTCACCAACCTTTCCTCAACTCTCTGATCTCAGATGATTGTTCTGCATTTATCTTCCGAAGTTCATCAATCTCATTTTTTCCTTGCAGCTCTTTCAATTTTGATTTGATACTTCCGATATCTGTATGAAGTTGTAGGCGCTTCCAAAGTATATGTACCAAGATGGCGCACAACCTGAACTATGACATCGTACACATACTAGATTCAGGTTGTGCGCCATCTTGGTGCACATACTTCTGAAGCTCCAAATTGAGCTCTTCAAAAACTTCTATCAGATTATATACAAATTGTTTTGAACGATTTAAACACACGAATTGAACTGACAAGTAAACAACGAGGGCTTAAATAGTTGATTGGTAATGCTACGGTCGGTAATTGAGTATACCAATCCAATTTGAGAATTTATGAGTTTCTCTGGAAAAAGGTTGAAATGTTGTGATAAATAGACTTAAAAAATCTAAAAAGTAACCAGAGAAATACATTATTTTATAAGAAATTGTGGATAAATTCCATTCTCTAGTTGTATTCGACCTTATAACGTCGGGTCATTTTTAGCATTGCAAATGTGGCAGCCACCTGATCTGTAAATAACATAAGATAATTCATATTATACATTTAAGTGTAAGCCTATGATAAATGAGTACACAATAAAGACATAGACTGATGCTTTTATCATCAATAAACGTAATATATCGATTCAATGTCAAAAGTCTAAAATGTAAGACTCGATCATATTTAGCAAGTTTGCTTTACTCGTTTTTGGGGTCAAGTAATTAAAAATCATCGAACTAAATAAAACCAAAGTACCTAAAGTATTCCTGGATACTAAAGGAAACAGGTTGGCATCATTCTCAGGTTGTGCCGTATTCTGGTATTTGCACGTAATTGGAAACTCTTTGTCATGCAGATGTTCATCAATGTCGAAGCCTGGTCTGTCCCATCCTACAGAAACCGGATCACATTGTGCGATCTGGCATCCAGGCTTGGTAGAGCAGTGAAACACTGTTTCATCTTGACACCAAGATGAGGTGATGATGTAGATTAAGATAAAAATGATTAAGATTCTCATCCCGAGGTTTCAGTGTAGTTAAGTAGTAACTGAATGGAGAGAAGTGTAAATGTGTTCATATAAACTTATAAAGTTTGTTTTTGAAGGCGAAAAGGTATTTGACTCTATAGACATAACTTTTTAAATTAGTTTCGTCTGCAGTGGATTAAAATCGTCACAAACAAACACAAAATGTATATTCCCAGAATTTTTATTCATTTTTAAGCTGAACCTGACTGTTCTCCTCGCCCAGTTCTCTTTATAAATTGACATAGTCTAGTCTTTCACAATTTAATGGCGATCAAATGAGTTTAACAGCAACAATGATTTCGCGGCGGTGTGGCGCGTCGTGCTAAGCGTTAGGAATACGCTTGTCACCGCACCTCTGATTACTCTGCGTGGGTTCGCATGTTTGAATCCAATGCTGGGATAGTTATGTGCGAGAAGATCGCTGTACTCCTCGTCGCCGTAGGGCGGTTCACGTAATCGCTGGTCGGTTACGGCTTCCTCCACCATCAAGTCCATGCTCCAAAAAAAAAAAAAAACTAATCCCATAAACGACGTGGATTGGCAACCGGACGAGAGGCCGTTGTTTGCCATATAGTTAAGCCGTCTTATCGGCTTTCCTCTCCTCCCTGATAAATATGTAAATTCTATCCTAAAAATGTCGTAGCGTATTAAGTTATAACTAGGAATTACGTAACCCCTATCGTTAAAACTCTCAAATCCCAATTAAAATTGTCACAAACAACGTCGTTATTCAGCAATGACACTGTTGAGAATCCCTTCACCAAGTCTTGTTTAGAGTCAAAAATTGGAAATGGAAAGATTCGAAAATTCTAACACCTGCACTGAAATGACGACTTTCCTCAGTTGTGGTCCAAGGTTTTACCAACTCTGCTCATTCTTTGCGTTTTCGTGTTCACAGTTCACACCCACGAAATTATTGATAATAACAGACATCTATCTTCGAGCCTTGAAACTTTAGCCAACGAGGTGCATTAATACAATCGATATTAAACTGCACTAATAGAGTTTCTATTGTGTCGTTTTCATGCCCAAAATCTACCGATATTCCAATATTTATAGAAATATAGCCAACGCGAGGAGTCGTGTCGTGACTCAGTTTCGAATCTTAATCGGATTAGCGGTCACGCGTGACGTTCATTATAAAAAAAAACAATGACATCGCATAATTAATTTTAATTTATTGCAATCTTCTATTTATAAATTAAAAAAATCGCAATGAATATAAGGTTACATATACTATTAAAAATAAACGTCGCTTCAATTTTTAAACGGGGTTAGCGCTCTGTTGGCATTTTCTTAGGCACTTAGAAATGCTGTTAACCAAAGTGACAATAAACCAAGTGGAGACACGAGTGCAATGATGCTATAGTGGACGCCATTTTGTGTCCGGCGAATCGCGGGAACGCGGCAGCCTCGGTTTGTTTTAGCTTCGTCAGTCTGCTGATCAGGTTTCGTTCGTCATTTTGTTTGGAGATTGGTTTCTGTTTTGCATTTTATTCTAGTAAGTTCAGTATTTTTCTTTTGCTATTTTCCTAGTGGAATAATACTCATATCGTGCGGTTTCGTAAAAGTTGCGATAGTTATCTTATCATCCCGTGTGAGTTATGCAACTTTGAAACCTCATATCTCACGAGCCTGATATTATATTCAGACAAGTTTTATATTGTTTGAGAGACAATATAGGAGACTAAATATAATTATAAGGTGGAGATGAAATTTCGCGATTATCGTACAAAAATCGGCAAAACTGAAAAGCGTCAAATTTTTTTGAAAAGCTTCTGAATTAAATGACAAATACTTCGATTTGTTCTTGTTTTAACCTATATGATATCGACACATTTGTAGAGGTTGGAGATAGCTTTCGAATGGTACCATTAGATTGAATTTATCGTTCACCAGTAAAATTGTATAAGCTATTTTATTCAATGTTCTCCAATTCTTCACATGTCTGCTGCGCCAACTTGAGTTAAACAACGAGGTTCCCTAATGACTTCGTTACGCAATTACGTTGCAACGTAGCAGCTCTGAAATGAATGAAAAACACATATCGCTTTCCCTCGCAAATGTGAAACGTCATTAACCTAAAGCATACGTTTAAAGCATGTATTATTTTAACTGGTATCATAATGACTGTTCACACCATGTCGAACGTTTAAAGCCTGCGCTTTACATTAATCATTCCAGAAGATGATGAAATGCCCGAAATTACAGAATGCAAACGATCTCATGGCTAGCACATTGTGCGGCCTAATGAATTTTATCGAAGCGTACAAGGCAGTGGCGGCGCGTGATCATTTTAACAACCGGGGCAAGCTACTGCGGGACCAAGTCACCCCCATCTACGGGGACAGGATGAGCGCTGTAAGTTCTCCCATCATTTTATGAGTATAAAAACCATTCCATCGGTAACAACCAATCGGCAAAAGCGACAATTTTTAACGATAAGAAAGTGTCTTTAAAACCGGTCCAAGTCAAGGGATTAATAAATATAGACATAGTTTATTTTGAAATCTCTTTCAAAAGGAAAGGCAATATTTACCCAGATAAATACAATGACATATTAACAGAAACTTCGGGAAAGCAGACAAAACCTAAAATAAGGTTTAAAACGTTACTATGAAGAAAGGAAAGTTAATGCAAAGATAAGGACATGCGTCGCTCACTCATAGATATATATGCTGCTAGACTTCTACTGCCAGTCAGTCAGTCAGTCAGTAGTTTATTTTATCACATACCAAAAGTACACAATAGACAAAAATAACTACGAATCACATATAAAACAATACTTTCAGTGTGAAGGGAGGCGCGATAAACCAGAAGAGGTTATCGAGCAGCGTCACCCTGGGGGAGTGAGTCTAAAAATTAAATCATAGTGAGAAAAAAGTCAAACAGGATACTAGCAAAAGTCGTGAATAATAAATAAAATAATAAAGTCGAAGACGGCCTTTTTACACATTTTAGTGACCGATATCACGGTGTCACTCTAGTTAATATGAGAATGTGACTCCCGACACCACTGGTCGAGGTAGCCATGGTAACAGCAGTTGGTTATTGAATAACAAACAGAAAGATAAAGTCGAGTTAATTATTCCAATCGATGCGGAAATAGTGTTATATTTTGACGCCGTACCGAAGTACGGCATAGGAGGGTAGAGACCGCCGGAAAGTATAAGTGAATTCAGTAACACTCAGAATTTGAGTGATTTTTAAATATAAAATCGTAGGTCTCTACCGAAGGTGGAGGCAGATGTAAACATGAAAATGTGACAAAAATGGGCAAAAAAGCAGTAAAAGGTAAGCATTTTTCTGGTAAATGCTAAGCTATTAATCATAGGATAGATCCAGTACAAAAGCGCATGAGGCAACAAAATGCACTAGAAATATACAAATAGGATGATGAGAACCACTATAGTACCGGTAAGGTATCATGCTATATTAGTTAAATAAAGCTGCACTTAATAAATACCAATAATTGATAATAATATCTTAATAAATAACAATAATACGAGTTAACGCTTGTAGTATTAAGAGATAGTTGTTTATTAGGCGTTAACTCAAAGATAGGCACTTGTGTGTGACCACGGAAATCTGAGTTAGATTGGAGGTAAGAAAACTGGCAATAAATAAAGCAGTTCAAAAATTCTATAAGATTGCGCACATCAATATATATAGAGTATAACAAGAATAGGGATGAATTATGATGATTCCACAGTAACATTGCAATATATAAAATACAACAAGCATTTAACAGCAAATAAACAGGTCTCTTCATTACAGGCAGGCTGTGGATCGAGTTGAATATGACCTTGATGGACACAAAGCAAGGATAAAATATGAAACAGCGACTTGGAAAATTCAGGTGGGTTGGTAAGAGGAAATCAGGAATTTTTTATAATTAAATTTGAAAGTCATGTAAGATGACTCACGTAGGTCTTGGGGTAGACTGTTCCAAATTGAAACACCTTGATATTTCAAAGAATTTTGGGATTTGCTTAGTGAGAAGCGAGGCACAAAAAAATTACTCTTTGTTGAGGAGCGGGTGTTATATTTATGCACTGAAGTTAGGGTGAGAAAATACTGGTCGAAAGCCGCTGGCAATTGATTGTTTTGGAATTGGTGCATAATCTTAGAAATTTCTAGTTTGTAGATGTCATGTAATTTTAGTACTCTATGCTTATAATATAGATTGTTTAAATTGGAACGTAAAGGTGCCCAAGAAAGGATTCTAATGGCCCTATTTTGTAAGACTTCCAATTTACGCATGTTTACTTTAGCTGTAGAACCCCATGCCGCTATGGCATACTGAATGTGGGCCTGAAAAAGTGCGAAGTAAATGGTTCTTAGTGTGGTATCCTGTAAGTAATATCTAAGCTTACCCAGGATCCCTACCGTTCTTGATAGTTTTCTATGCAAATCAGCAGTGTGGGTGTTCCACTTTAATTGGTGGTCGATATTGAGTCCTAGATATTTATAAGACTGGACTACTTCTAAATTTCTGCCATTGATTCCAATTGCGAGGTTGGGGTATCTAGTGTGAGATTTTGAACTGAACACCATGACTTTTGACTTATCTATATTCACTGTTAGCTTGTTGCATAACATCCATTCATAAATTTTATTTATTTCAGTGTTCATATTTAGCTGAAGTGTAGTCGGATCCTTCGCGCTGGTGAGCAAGCATGCATCATCTGCAAATAGTTTACTCAAAAGATTCGAGCTGTTGGAAAGGTCGTTTATGAAACATAAGAACGCTAATGGGCCAACTACTGAGCCCTGAACAATTCCGCAGTGGATGGGTAACATTGGGGATCTATGGGGACCTATTTCAACAAATTGATACCGGCCTGTCAGGTAATCGGATAACAGTTTTCCTGCATTACCCCTAAAACCGTAATGTCTTAACTTGTGAATGAGAATGGAGTGGTCTACGGTATCAAAAGCCTTTTTTAGATCTAGGAAGGCACAACAAACATACTCGCCTTTGTCTATTTTATCATATATAAATGATGTCAGATCAAGGATAGCATGACTGGTGGAGTGTTTGGTCTGGAATCCAAATTGACATTTGTTTATCAAACTGAATTTAGTACAATAGCTCATCATTCTGGTATACAACAACTTTTCCATTATGATGCTAATTGAAGATAAAATAGAGATTGGTCTATAATTTGAAGGGTTGTTTTTTTTCCCGCATTTAAAAATTGGTATAACTCTAGCAAGTTTTAATGAAGAAGGAAATATACCTAAATTGAATGACGAATTGAAGAAATTACTCAAAGCTGGTGATATGATATCAGCAACTAATTTCAAAAAATAAGAGGAAATACCATCCGGTCCAACCGCTTTACCCTTTTTCAGGTCCCTGATTACACAGAGAACTTCTAAAGGTGATGTTGACTCAAGAAAAAAAGAGTTCTGTAAAGGGACACCCAGGAATTCAGCATTTGATTTGGTACTATGTGGGATTTCATCTGCGAGTTTTTTCCCTATAGAAGAGAAGAATTTGTTGAATTCAGTGGCCACATAGACGGGGTCTGTCACAGTAGTACCATTTTCCAATTTTAATTCTGAGACGGTGGGGACCTCTCTTGTCTTAATTTTTATAATCTCATTGATGGTTTGCCATGTGCGTTTGACGTCTCCTCTGTTGTTGACTAGAATATTGTGGTAGTACTGCTGTTTCGATTTTCTTAGCAAGTGTGTTAAAATATTCTTATATTTTTTGAAGTAATGACGCTGCGATGCGTTTCCGTTCAGAAACATTATTCTGAACATGGCGTTTTTGTGTTTGATGGACTTGCGAATTCCACTGGTTATCCAGGGCTTGGAATACAATTTATTTTCTCTGCGTGACAGAGGGCGTAATGGTGCGTGCTTATTTATCAACCACTTAAAATGGCTAAGAAAGAGGTCAAATGAACTATTAAAATTTTCTTTGGATAATATACCACTGGCATAATTTCTACACATCATCTCAACTTCCAATCTGAATGTGTCGGCAGAAAAATTTGCCATGTCACGCTTCATGCGTGTTTTTGTTTGGACTTGAGCACTAGTTGTTGATAAAGTACACATAATAGGAAAATGATCGGTGAGATCACTAATTATAATAAATGATGATGAGCATGATTTTAAGGTGTTGGTATAAATGTGATCTATTAAGGTGTGGGAGGATGAAGTAACTCTTGTTGGTCTAGTGATGATTGGGAATACAAAATTGGACATGAGCATATCCAAGTATTTGGAGGTTGGAGTATCGAGGGTGTTGAGGAGGTTTATATTAAAGTCACCCAAAATTATGAATTGCTTTTTGGCTAATGTCAGCTTTTCGAATACAGAATACATCGCTCCAGTGAAGGATGGAATATTACGCTGGGGATGCTTGTAGATAACACCGATAACAAGGCATTGGAATTTTGGATTTTGTTCAGAGCATTTCAACTCGATCCACATGTTCTCACAGTTTTCGAAAACGAAGTCAAATTCTTGCGTTATTTGAAAATTCATGTCATTTTTAATATAGAACCCCACACCACCTGCTTGAGTTGGGGATGGAGCATGGATGAAGGTGTAACCAGGGATGTCAACGTTATTAACAGCGGCGTCCCTCTTTATCCTGATTTCGCTCAACGCAAGAATTTGTGGCAGGGAATAAAAATTAGTAATTAGTTCAGCTAGGTCATCAACATATTTACCCAAGGATCTAATATTGAAATGTAAAATAGTGAGATCTGAGGGTAGAAAACTAGATGTTACTTTATTGATATCCGGTATTTCAATGTACCGACATGGGATTGAAGCAAAATGCGGATGAAATCTTTCTGAATCCCACTGCGAGTTGTGATTAGAAGTTAGTTCTTGGACCGATGAGGTTGTTCGATTAGAATTTTTGCGCTGGGGATCTTAAACACCATCATGGAGACTGTTATAGGGAGGTAAAATACATAGCATATGGAGCAAAGGATGGCATAAGTCACACTACAAGTGCTAAATGGGTCACAAATCATACTACAGGTATTAATAAAACATGTTACAGAGTGATTTGGGTGGTTCATGGAAGAATAATGGATGTCATGTAAAAAAAAAAAGAGTTATAAAGAAGATATGACTTATCTTATTTTATTTAAATCTTCATCATCATCAATGGGCAAGGTGTTGGTGTCTTTATTCTTTTTAATCAACACTTTTCCATTAGAAGTCCATAGGAAAGCATAGCCACACTGATTTTTACGAACTTTTGCTTGGTAGAACAGGTTCTTATTTCTGTCAGTCAAGTTTTCAACAATAAATACTTTTGATATGTTTCTTATAGATGTTGAGTTGACAGAAGTTTTAATGAGGTGGCGATTCTTTAGGATTTTGGCACGAATTTTTCGGTTAGTAAATTTTGCTACTATGGGCTTGTAAATTTTGGAGTTGCGAGTCGGACAGCGATGGGTAATAGAAATGTCAGAAGGTTTTATGTCGACATTAATCATCTTGCCAATTTCTATAACTAGATTGTCTGTGTCCTCATTTACTTTAGGAGCAATGCCGTGAAATTCCAGGTTGTCTAGTCTTGAACGCCGTTCATGTTCCTCTATTTTTTCTGTGGCATTGAATAGCTCTTCTTCGAGATCATAAACGAGGTCTTCAAGATCTCGTATTCTTTTACCATATTGTGTGAGTATATCTTCTGTTTTTTTTTGTTTGACCAAAATCTCTCGTATTTCTCGGATTGAAAATTTTGGGATTCTCGGATCGAAGCGATATCTTGTTTAATTTCTTTTAGAGATGTCATTTGCTCTTGCATACACTCTTTCAATCCTGGGCTTAGAGGAAAATATTCGGAGGAGAAGTTGGCCGAGCTAAAATTATCCGCAAGACATGTCGCTATCAGATTTGGAAGCTGATTTACGATGTTATTTTGAATCGCCTCCTGCAGCACTAGCTGAAAGTTTGCAGGATCTTGAGTGAAGGGACCAATTGGTGATAAACCAGGATCTGGCAGACTCCTACTTAAACGTTGTTTAGGCTTTGGCTTTGTGATGTTGCTTAATGAAGCCATGTTGTTGTTGTTAAACTTTTTGCTGGTAAAATTTGATGTTGAGGTAAACAGCAAATATAGTTGTTGATCGACTTTTTGCTGGTAGAACAGATGGTTGAACATATATGCAACACGCCGCGGTTTCTTGGAAGCAAAATGCTCAATAACGCGCTGATTAAAGTCATGCATCCCAGAAATAACGTCTCTGTGAATGGATAAAACAGCCAAGGAATTTAATCTATCTTGCTTCATTGTGTTTCTGAGATACGTTTTAATACGCTTCCGCGTGCTGAATGTTCGCTCTGCGTCGGCGGAAGAAATAGGCGTCGTCAAAATGATGTCCAGAAATTTTGCAGACGCGGCAAATGTAGTTACTAGAGTGTTATCTATGAGGAACCCATAGAGCACGCAAGTTGATGTGATGTTCAAAAAAGTTTTGATTGGTGTATATACATCGCAATTCATTTCCAATTTACCCACGTTTATCATGGGGTAAAATTTGGAGACAGTAGCCAACAAATGGATGGGAAATTGACGTGCAAATTTTGAAAAATTTTTGGGGTTCATCAAAGAGAACGCGGCAAGGTGTTCAGTGCGCAGACAATCGCCTATTTGATTAACCAGAATGTCACAGCATTCCTTTGCAGACAAAATCAAACGCTGCGTTGTTTGCCCGCGGCGTAAAGAAGCACTCCATGTGTCGTCGTATTTTATTGTTTCCCGGATCGAGATACAGCATCGCAGAAGTCTGAAATACACGACTGCACAGACGCTCTCCATTAGCCTTGACTGCAATGCGCCGTATAATACATCCACGTGATAGAATATTGTGGAGAAAAAGCGAGAAAAAATGAAAACTCACCATCTTCTAGCAGACGCTTTAGACCTGCCGCCTCCCTCACAGAGCGTTCGTCCCAAACCGGAGAGCTCTGAATGCCATTGAAACACTCAATGAGCTCAGACCTAATTTCGGACACGCCCTGCACCACGCGTGATTGGAAGTTCCAACGTGTTGGTGCACAAGCTGGGAGACGGCGGCTACATATCTGGCGAAGGAGGTCAGAGCGCTTCGGCGAAACGGAAAAAAATGAAGAAAACCCCGAAACATTTGCAAAAAATATACGGACGAGAGGGTATCAAGACACATATTTTTAATAACGAGGTTAAATTGGTGTGCATAACAATGTAAAAAATGCGCATGAGGAAAATCTTCTTTTATATAAACTTGAACACCATGTTTCGACCCACTCATGACTGCCGCGCCGTCATAAGTTTGAGCTATCAATTTTGACTTCGCGTTGTAAGGCTGTAACACTTCTTTCAGTACAGCCGATATCCCGCAAGCCGTGCGATCAACGATTGGTACAAAGCTGTGAAATCTCTCGGTAGGTTTACCATCTTTCACAAACCGAAAAATCACAGCCAGTTGGGAAACGCACGTGATGTCAGTTGTCTCGTCAGACTGAATCGAAAGGAACTGGCAATTCTCAATTTCCAGAGCCAAATGTTGTAAATAAATTTTATACATTGAGTCGAGCAAATCATTTTGGATATCCTTAGATGTCCCTTTCGAAACAGTTGCGGCATCAAGATGATCTCTCAATACTGTATCTAGGGATGCGGTGTATTCCACCATATCCAAAAATACCCCTCTATTAGAAGAGCCAGCCCGTTCATCGTGCCCACGGAGGGACAGCTCGTGACAACCAATGAACTTCAAAACATCTATCAATCGACCGAGAACATGGCGGTTTTTCTCGACGTTTTGGTTGTGCCGACGAATAGAAACCGCGCGTCCTTCATCCAACTGTGCTGCAATATTAACATTTCCGAATGTTCGGTATTTTACTGCATTGTCCAGATGCTCCATAGAAGATTGATGATCCCTGGCACGCTCGGAAAGATGTTTAAGATCTCTAAAACCAAATTTACACCAACGTGAGTCACGGGCGGTAGCAAAAAGTAGGCAATAAAAACAAAAAAGTGCATTTTTGTCCTCGCTGTAACACAACCATTCGTGTTTTTTATACCAAGTTTCTGCGCAGAATGTACGCCGACGCTTTCCTCCGTCATGGGATTGTTCCAGTGAACAATTTTTTGGTTGATAAGGCCCAAGACGTTGTACCTCTAATTTTTGTTCCAGCGGCAGCTGCGAAAACGGAGTGCGAAGTAGTGCATCAACCTTATTCATTATGAGGTCTAAGGCTAAGAAATGCGAAGCCGGAAAGAAGTGAGGAGCTCAAAAGGAATGTGGAAAATCGAAAGCAAATGGACTAAAGGTCTCTAACTGATTCAAATAGCGAAACAAGCGACAAAAACGAAGGCGAGGAAACTATCAACTCTTCAAGCAACCAACGAACGAGAAGGAATGCGTGAATATGTCAACACGTTGTTGTAAGAAACGTCGGCATTGTGTCGTCATAATTTCGGGGCTAGCCCCGATCGGCCCTGATGATTTAGTAAAAGAAACAGAAAACAAACGAGACAAACGCGGCGAGTGGAAGATAAAAGAGAGAATACGATATACAATGAGCAACCGGGGCAAAATCGGCGTCGCCCCGTCGACGTTCGGCGAAGGCTTTGCGAGCGAAAAATGAACCATGTCGGGAGAATATGGCTAGTGTAGACAGTCTGTGCAACCGATATTGAGGTATTTTTCGAATATTTTGCCCCGGTTGGCCCTATTGACGCGCCGCCACTGGTACAAGGTGTACATTATAACGTACAAAATTTAAAGACCGGTCGCTGCGACTGGTGTTACAGCTCTTATCAACTTATTGGTAGGATATTTCGATTCTTTTGCGTCGGAAAATGTAAAATATTTACTGATCTAGCGAGGCCATCATGTCTTCTACGTTCTCGTTAATAAAACTTAATTGTAATTTTAATGATATCCAACAGTGAAAAGTTAGCATTGATGTTTCCGGCGGAACCCTATAGCGACACGGGGTTCAAATTGTTTGTTTGTTTCTATGGAAAGTGTCAATCCCGATGAATGCCCACAATCGTTACTAACTCTTTTTCGGTCCTACACACATGATAAAAATTTAACAATTGACAGTTTCACCCAATATTCATGCCACCCATCCAAAAAAAGCAATCG